GACACAAATTGTCAATCTTCGGCTCGCCTCGGCATCATGGCCTCATCACGTCAAGTGTCATATTTATAAGTAAGATGTGTGTGTGTGTGTGTGTGTGCGTGTGTGCGTGTGTGCGTGCGTGCGTGCGTACGTGTGTGTGTGTGTGTATGTGCGTGCGTGCGTGTGCGTGTGTATAATGAGTAGGTATCGTATGTAAGGTCGGCGAGAACCCGCAAGAGCATGAATGGGGCGTCACCGACGTGACCAGTTCCTATACCGACTGTGTTTACTTTTCGCAAATAATGAAATGCCTGGCCGATGCTAGACTGGTACCCGTTCGCCACCTTCACTCCGGCAAGTATCCTTCGCTACACTGACGCTGTTAGTGTAGCGTGTGGAACTGTCGACCGGGTACCAGTCTAGGCCGATGCCAAACTGCATGCAGTGCACCTTTATACACTCAGGATACTCGTAGATTGAGCCCATGTGTCGTGGAGTTTGGGCCGATGCGATGCATTTTCTGGGTTTTCTGCGTGATTATTATTTTGCGCACCACTCATTTTGGAAATCCTCCAACATTTTTACTTCTTCCATTAAGTCCATGTTTCACTGTTATTTAGGAAGGAAGGTAAAACTGTGCATTCGTATAATTTCACTCTTGCTTCTATAGTATGATTTCCATAATTTTGCTCTTCTGCCCATGATAATATTTACCTCATCATGAACCTACATTTTTCAGTTCGGACTCTTATCATATCGTTATAACCTCCTATATCATTAATTAAATCCCCTAGGTATGAATATTTGGTGCATTTTTTGATTACTTGGTTGCCTATTAATATCTCCTTCTCTATCCTTTCTTTGTTGGTAAATTTTATAACCATTGTATTTGTTTTGTTCATATTAAATTCTAATCTTTTTGATTCAGCTAATTGAGCGATTTTTGTTACTGTTTTATAATCTCAAATTCCTAAAATATTGTCCATATATAATCATTGTCATCTTCTAAAACTACAGACCATCCGCTGACCGCTGTGGAGACGTGCGCCGGGCCTCGAATTTGGCGCACGTCTCCACTGCGGACAGCGCTTCATACTTGAACATCCCCGCTGTCGCGTACGCATATCCCGCGGAACTGCGCGTCTCATCGGCGAGCAGCGCTTAGGATCAACAGCAAAGCTGTGCCACGCAATCTTGTATCATGTCTCTCTGGATATACGTGTGGGGATAGGTGGTATCAAGGGTACAATATTACAGGAGCATATAACGTGCTAAAACAGGGCAAAGTTATCTTCAAAAATTTAACTACGTTCCTCTGTTGCCACAGATTGATGCTTCGGAGGAAAGGTTTCTGCTAACGTGGGTACGATGCGCATGTACAGGCCACAGCAATGAGAACAGCGCCTATCATGCACTCCACTATGTATAATAGAGCGATGGCTGTGACGCTGTTAAATTATTACACACACACAGACGCGAGTAATTGCAGTTCATCAGTTAATTTAATTCCGTATTATAATTGCAGAAGCTTCGACTTTGTTCAGCAGTCTTACACTATAATTTGAAAATTATCATAGTTATATTGTTACCGTTGAAATATCGACGTCATTATTTGAATTTCGTGCTAAACTGTGTAGTCTTTCTAATTGGGATGAAATTTAGCCTTGAAATTAAAACCTTTAACGGTAACATATCCTATTCAATGAATATGTATGTATATAAATATTACTGTTCCGCTTAATAGTTAGTTACACGCGTAAATATTGTTTAAAAAAAAGGTTAAATTCTTCGAGTTTGTATTATCTATCTTATTGGGAATCTTCGTATTATGAATGAGAGCTGATATATAACTTTGTGGAGTAACTTTATGTGGTATATTTTTTATAGTGATATATAACTTTGTGTGCAACTTGCCGCAGAGATTCGTCGCTTTCAGCATCTATATATTATCAGGAGCTAATAATGACAAATTTGTTGTCATTATTAGCTCCTGATATTATGAAGGATGCACTAATTTGTATAATTTGGATAGATTAATTTGTTTGCGTAATACCCGCGGGTGTTTCGCGACAATAGCGCCACTGAGAACGTCAGCGGGCTGTCAGTCAACGTCAACGTCAACGCCATCGTCAACGTCATTGATCACCTGCGGCCACGCGATAACAATATAATTCGTTACGAAACGTCATGTCAATCATCCCCATGTTTATTCGCAAATCATCAGCTGATCAACAAGGACAATCAGCATGATCATGTTGTTGCCGAGTGTCGATCGCAAAACAAATACATGCGGATTAACTGAGGTGATCCATGTAGTCACAAACACACACACGCACGCACGCACGCACACAACACACAAGCACACACCACACGACACAACACAGCACACACACACACAACACACACCCACGTGCACACACACAGCGCACGGCAGCACGCACGCACTGCACGCACGCACGCACGCACGCAACGACACACATACACACACACAACACAGCGGCGCTACGCACTATATGCGGAAAAGAAACCACGATAACCGCACGACACAGACAACGACACGGCAGTTTTATCTACCCGGCACGATCAGTTACAAATCGATGGTGTAGCTTACACTGTCACACAAAACGTAAAAATCTAAAACACCATACTACAAGTCCCTCGGGTACACGGTATGCTATGAATAACTCCTATTTAAACTAAGTATTACCAGCAGTGTGCTGACTCTAGATCATACCATAACAACTCCGTCAACCCAAGGTACACTATATATATAGGCTCACAGCCATGCACCCCAGCCAAATCCCCAGCACACATCTACTGACAATCACATAAGAATCTTAAACTTTCCGATAATTGTCTCTAGTTACGCTACAAAATCTTCCCTTACAATTTAGAATACTACCGTTACGAATGTCAACACCGTCCTCTGAAAAAAAGTCCCACACTTTTGCCGGTAGAACTATAGTTTGATTGTTGGCCATCGTTACAACGATCACTACGCGGCTAGCCACGATGCTAGATGCAAAAATCATCTAATGCCCATGCCTCTTCACGTTTACAAAATGACCCGTGACACGCGTCGTGAATGTCGCTGATAGCGGCGACAGGCGTCAAGGACGAACGACGACGACGACAAAACAGCAGCAAGGCGATGATATATTACTTACCATCATAAACGTTCCTAGAACAAGATTTAAGCGGCAACGACACGTGTCACGAAACACTGGGGGTCACAGAACACACACATCACAACACTAAGCTAGACAGCCAAGAACACACACGTGCACGAACAACGCAAATCCACATTATCACAACGGAAAACCAGCAGGGCGAGATTGAAATGATGGCCACACCCTCACCCAACGCAAGAGACGCACGGACGCCAACGGTACGACACGCACGGCATTTGCATGCACGCAAAACGCAAACACACGACACACACGGAGCACACACACCACACACGACACACACACATGGCGATAGCGTCACATCAACGATACACACATAACATATACGTACGGCCCTAATAGTAACTCCCCATCAAACCGCCATTATAGCGTTTATCGCATGATTCCCTAACAAGCGATTACAAGGGATTTCATCATTTCATACGGCGCGACGCGACATCGAAGGGCAATTAATAATATTCATGCCACGCTCACAACTCGCACCAAGCGTATAAAGAAGCAGCAGTAGTAGAGACGAGAAGACGCTAGTGGTCCGAGGTGCTGGGCTGCTTAAGTCGGCAGGGAAGAAGCTTGCGAAGCCTTTACGAGCAATGCCCCACACGCCAGTCCGGGAGTCACGCGGGCGGCCGCCTGCTCGCAGGCTTCTCCCTCCGTGA